CATTGAGAGACCCACGTCCCACAAAAAAAAAAAAAAAAATTAAAGTGGCAGGCAGATCCTATTCATTGACCATGGTCATTTGCTGATTGAGATATTTTGGTTGCATTAAGTTAGTTTTATGTGATGTGGAAGGAAGCAACAGAAGTGTAGATAACCTGAACTTCTTTTCCCTTTTGCTCTTTTGTGAAATCTGCAGCCACTTTACCTTGAGTATGAATCATTATTGTACGCATCCCTACAACTTTTATCGCTACTGGAAATAAGATTCAGTCACCTGTATTAAGGGCACCTCATTTTATTGATATAGGTAGGATTTAGAATGCTTTATTTTTATTACAGTTCTGAATAAACACAGGCAAATATTCAACACATATAATCCAACAGCCCTTAGCCTTCTGTTAATATAGCTGTGTTTTGATAGTTCTTTCCCTTTCTCTCCTAGAGAGTACTTTCCCTCTCATACCTTGAAACCATCACTTCTATTAAATATACCTTTCTAATATGATCTACCTTTAAATTTTCAGTCTTTTACTGACAGTTCCCTTGTTGTACATTTCTACTTTGACACCCTGCTCATCTCTCAGACTTGATCCCCAAAGCGATTTTGGTTTGTCACTCCCCTACTGAATTTTTGTAGTCACTCAGGCTCAAACGTTGAAGGTAAGTTTATTGTGCATTTTAGTTGTCTTTAACAACATGAGCAATATCTTCTTAATCTTTGTGGCTACAGCACCTTGCACAGCAAGCAGTAAATAATTGTTTAAAAAAGAATGAACTGACTAATCTTAATAAGCTAAACAATGAAGATGGAATTAAGAAAGGAATAAAGTAGATAATGAACAGAAGACCTCAGAAAGGAATTAACTCCGTATCTGTTTTCTGCTAGATCTTGGGCCCACAGTTCAGTTCTTGGTTTTTGTCACATCTTACTGGACTATTGAAGCTGTCCCTTGACTGGATTTATCTCTCTCTTGCCTCCTTAGCCTCCTGTCTTCCACATTGTTCTGCTCTGCCTTGTCTCTCCTTTCTTCCTTGCCCTGTTTTATCTTCTTCATAAATCTTAATAACCCTCAGATTATCATTTATTTTTTAATTTCCTTATAGTCTGTTTCCCTGTACTTGAATGCAATGTATTCCTAGCACTTAGAACAGAATCTGTAGTAATCACTGAATATTTGTTGATGCATCTAATCATGGTGAGTTTTGTGGACAAGAGACTGGTCTCCAGTTGCTGAGGAAACATTTTTCAAAAATCATTACTTGCTAACCATTCGTTCATTTATCCAAACTAATATTTATTGAGTTTGCAGTACCAGACACTGTTAGGCATTGGAGGTGCTGAGATAAACAGTCCAGTCAGAGAATCCTTGCTCTCTCATAGTGATTCTTTTAGAGAAAGAGAAAAAAATACACAGGTAAACAAAAGATGATTTAGATGATATTATGTGCAAAGAGGAAAATGAAATGACATATTATTGATTTAGAGGTGGGCTGCCTTTGGGGTATTTAAGAAAATAGCTTTATGAGAAAGTTTGGGTATTTAAGCTATAAGTTGAATGCTAAGAAAAATCAAGCAATGTAAAGGTCTAGCTATAGAGTATTCCAAGCAAATGAAAAGATAGGGAAGACCTTGAGATAAGAATGAATGTGGATTTTTTTTTGTTTGTTTTTACCTTTCTAATTAAATTCCTTGATGGGAAGGACTTTTTAATAGTTTAAAAAAAAATAGTTACTTGTATTTTTCACAGTTCATCTGACCCTTTTTCACATAGTGACATTTAGTAATTAATTTTACCATTGCTTTAGATATGGTTTATAAAATGAAACCGTTTCCGAGGTCTTTTTATCAGAAGTATCTTAAATGTTTGGGGAGGGGAATAATTTTAGGCTTTGGTGCTAATTTCTTTTTACTTATGGATAAACCACAAAACTCTTCTAATTGAGTCCTGACCAGTATGTAAAATTATTTTTTTCTTAATATACAATGAATCTTTTTGTAAGAATTCAAAAATGCTAATAAAAGTAAAGTATAAACTCTCAAAATTCAATATACACATGTACTATATATATTTACATATATATTATTGTTTTGTGTGGGGTTTTTTTTGGTCAAGAGTATTTGCAGATATTTTTCCATGCCAGTAAATATAGGTTACAGTATTTTTAGGAGCTGTATAGTATTCAGTTGTGTGAATGAAGCATACTTTATGAAAAAAATTCTGTATAGCTCCTTATTGCTTTTGTTTAGAATTTTTCACTATTTTTTGAAGTACATTGTCAGAAATAACATTCAGAGCTCTCCTTAGATAAATATGTAGACGTGAAATGGTTTATCAGAAAGATTATAATGATTTGCATTCCTAAGAACAGTGCATAAATGCCTATTTCATGTATCCTGGGTTTTATCAGCCTCTATTATGTTTGCCAATCTGATATGCAGAAAATCTCCTTAAAAGAAAATGTGTGTTTCTTTGATTAAAAGTGAGATTGATTGTCATTATGTTACTTGTCATTTATATTTTGAGAATTGCCTGTTGAAGTCTTCTGCTCATTTATTATCACTGGATATATTTTTTAAAGGATTTTTTTTACAGTTCTTGTATACAGATAATAAGTCTTTGTCATTATTGAAAATATTTTTTCTTAGGTGGAATTGTTTAAATGTATATTGTACTTAATGCCACTTGGAAGTTTTTATTAATGTTTATCTTGTCAAAAATTAATATTTTTTAGTCTTTTAATTTGTCATACTTTTAACTCAATTCTGTGCTTCTCATACAATAAAACTTTTACTACTTTTTAAATAACATATGGAGTTGCACAACTGTATAGATACATTTTTTTCCATTGACAAGCTCACAGCCATAAATTAGTAGGATTTTAAAAATTGATTAATGATTAGCTAAAAAAAGCTCCAAAATACTTTATTAGTGTCCTGTTTTGTATTCTTTAGTTGCTTTATGTGTAACTTATATCTTATTTATAAGATTAATAGTTAGGACCTCAGGATGCGGATTGATAGGGACTACCTTTTCTTTTTTTCTGTGTACATGTTCCTGGCTTACCTACTATATAGCCCAGGGATTGAATTTAATTTATTATCTGTATGAGTCGGGATTCAGTTGCAGATAACTAACCACCATAGATATTGTTAAGTAGAAAGGGACTTAATTCAAAGAGGTGCTTACAGAAATCATCAGAAGTATTAAAACAACGGAGCAGAACTGACCTCAGCTGTACTCAGAAAGCTAGGAAATGAGGAAGCCGCTATCACTGGTGCTGCTTCCAGGCTCATACCACCTGTGGTGTAATCCAGGCATCAAGAGAAAGCTGCTACAACTGTTGGCTTCGGGGCTAAGGTGCTTTTACTAGAGTTGCAGTGACAACACAAATGCACTCTGCTTCACAACACTTTAAAAAGTAGTGCCTGGGCACTGGGACCACCGAAAACTAAAGTACTTTTGTGTACATGTTTCCCAGCAGAAACAAGCTAGTAGCCAAAGCCTCTGCCTTAGTTAGACCTTCCCAGTTTCACGTGAGGGAACTGATGAACTTAAATCACATCCAGAACCTGAGATGTAAGAGAGTTTGGGAAATGTAGTTTCTTTTTAGCTGGTAAGCTTCTGTAAGAAAGCAGAAGGAGGGTAAAAATGGACGTTGAATATTAATCGCTCCTATTCACCACAGTCATTATACGCATGAATAATGAAAACTGGCTTACAATTTTGTTTTTCCTATTCTTAGATTAATTTATATGAAGAATTTGATTTTTTCCCCCTGCTTTTCAGCACTTGCTAGAAGTAAAGTCTTTAAAGCACCTGACAAGACTGACCCTACAGGATCGCATTACCAAGTCTCTTCTTCATTTGCACAAGAAGAAGAAACCTCCCAGCATCAGTGCCCAGTTTCAGGTTGTTTCCTGTTTTACCTTTTTTTCCTTTTATTTTTAACAAAGAGGAATCTGTTTTGTTCAGGTTGACATTGTAAGGTCAAAGTGATCTGCAAGATACCTGAATAGGATATGATTCATGTGACTAAAAAGCTACACTATAATGGTCATTTTGGATGGAAGTACCAAAGATGGGGAAAAAATGTCAAGTGCTTTTGTTTTTCATCCTTGTATCTCTGGATAGTGCATATCCCAAAGAGTAATTTATTATTTTCAGTGTGAGGAGAAAAGCATCAGAAAATTGACTGCCCAGATAATGGTCACTGTTAACATGATGATGTATATTTCTCCCTATATATTTAAACCTCATGCTACTGCCATCAACATTTAACTCAATGGAATTGTAAGTTTTTTCTTGATTGTTTATTTTAGTTTTGTGTATATAGGAATCCAGTTCCTTTCATTGTAACTGGGCATTTAGGAATAAATATGATCATAATAGACTAACCAAATAACCTCCAGAATAACTTTACAAAATTCTCTTCAAATTCTTCCCATTCTTCTCAAATCATCTCTAACATTCTATTCATTTGCTAGATATTTATGAAAAAGAGCTGAAAATCTTAAAGGAAACAGTGCTTTACATAATTTTACTCTACCTCATGCTTTTATCACAGAAGCCTCGTTCACTGTTAACTAAAAATTTCTTTATCTGCTGATAGCTATACTTCTATGTTATCACGTTTTTCAATGCTCCTGTTTAATCCAGGATACCTGAATGTAAATTATCTACTAACATATCACTGGATATGATCTTGTTTGATTTATAAGCACAGTTCTTCAAACTGTAGGCTAGAAATGTCATTTTATTTTAGACAATTTTCACCGTAGGCCTAGAGAAAAAATAGATTCTATAAAAGCTACTTGGTCAAAGTGCTCTTTAAAAAAAAAACACAAAAACAAGATCAAAGAGCCAAACAACTTATTAGGTGCTAATAAAGTTAAAGGAAAGACAATTGAATATATAATGGAAGCTCTGCCATGAATTAAAAAAAAATCCTTCTAAAATCACAATCCTATGGGTTAATGGTATTTGATTATTTAAAAAAAGAGAGAGATGTTGCTTGACCAGACAGGTCTGTCTATACCTCGGTGGTGTCTTCACATCCCAGAGTTTGGGTTTTCACTCTATGGATTTAGAAATGCAAAGATGAATTTACAGGGAAAAAAATATCATGCTGACTGATAAACTATAAACACTGCTGTAAAACAGTATCAAAGTTTATTAATATACAATGAGAAATAAGAGTCATAGGCAGACTTGTTATAATTGTTAGTTCATGATCACATTTCCTCCTGATTAGCAGATCAAGGTGGGAAGCCAAATTCTGATCAAAAGGTAACATGGTGAGCTTGGTATCTGAAAAGGAAGCATTAATCTCATAATTATGAAGGGTAGAACCATTAAGCTGTTGTGTCCTTTATTTTGTTACCTTGGATCTTTTACAGGTGTCTGTATACCAAACTCAGACTTTAATCTGAAGAGTAAACATTATAGCTACTACAATAAAACTTAGTTATAATTACAATCCTATCATGTCCCTTAAAATCCCCCAAATTCAGGAATTATAGATATCTTCAAATTAAATTCATGTATTGTGTTTAACATTTGCAAAAAGAGTCATCTTTAATGTTTCTAATACATTGTTAAGTATTATAAAAGTAATGAGTACTATATTTTCCAGATCCTTTACTAAATATTTATACACATACATTATTTTTCCTCCAATTCTGTGAAATAAATACTGTCATTCTTATTGTACAGGTGAGGAAATTAGAAGTGATGGAGGTAGACTGCACCCAGCTGTCTTTGACTTCATACACTTCTTGTGAATGAATATTTACTTTCATCAAAATGAAATAATAGAACTCTGATACAGGAATTGCCCTTCTTTTATAAACAACTAGAAAAATGGACAAAAGATAAGAACAGAATGTTTTTAGATATTAGACAGTAAGCATTGCAGGATTATGATCCCTGAGAAGAGGGAAATAAATGAGGCAAGTCCCAGGTTACTGCATAAAGGCAGTTTGCTGTAGCCCAGGGAGAGTGAATCCAAACAAATGCCAAGGTTTTGCTCTGGGCCTGCCCTCACAGAGCTTAATAAAAGCAAGTCTTGAAAGAATCAAAGTGATTCTTTATAACTTAACAGCCCCAGGGGAAAATGTCTGTTGCTCTTTAAAGGAATATAACAAAATCCAACAAGGTAAAATCACACTAGCATCCAATCTGAAATTATTAGGCATGCAAAGAATCAGGGAAAATACAACCCATAGCAAGGGAGAAAAAAATCAATCATTAGAAACAGATCTAGGGACTTCCCTGGTGGTGCAGTGGTGAAGACTCCATGCTCCCAATGCAGGGGGCCGGGGTTCTATCCCTGGTCAGGGAACTAGATCCACATGCATGCTGCAACTAAAAGTTTGCATGCTACAACTAAGGAGCCTGTGAGCTGCAACTAAGGAGTCTGCCTGCTGCAACTAAGACCCAGTGCAACCAAATAAATAAATAAATTTTGAAAAATGAAAAAGAAACAGATCTAAAAATGACAGAGATTATGGAAATAGCATTTAGATGAGGATCTCAAAATAGCTATTATAAATCATATAAATATGTCCAAAGAAAAACATGAATACTGATGAGAAAAAAATAGAGGATATGAAAAAGACTCAAATGGAACTTTCAAAGATTAAAAATGTAATATTTGAAAATAAAAATAAGCTAGATGGGATTAACACCTATTTGCCGAAGCAGTGAATTAGAAGTTACATTTGCTTTAAAATAAAGTGCAGAGAGAAATAACAAAGATGGAAAAAATGAAAAAAAGCCTTAGTAACTTGTGGGAAAATATTAGATCATTGAACATAGGTGTAATTGGCATCTAAGAAGGAAAGTCAAGAGAGGGGGATACAGAAAAAAATTTGAAGAAATAATGACCAAAATATTTCCTTATTTTTATGAATAATATGAGCTCAAAGATCAAAGAATCTCACCAAATCCCAAGCAGAACAAACCTAAACACACCAATACACATCACATCAAATTGCTAAAGCCAGTTAAAAAGAGAAAATTTTAAATACAGCCAGAGAAAATAGACAACATTTATGTGCCATGAAATGAAGATAAGAATAACAGTAGGTTTCTCATCAGAAACTATGAAAGGCAGAATTCAAGAGTAGTATTTTTAAAAAACTGAAAGGGGGAAAAAAAACTGTCACTCTAAAATTCTATGCACGTGAGTATTGAAGGTTATATAGAGACTTTTTCAGGCAAACAAAAGTTGAGAGAATGCATTGCCAGGAAATCTACATTATAAGAATGTTAAATTTGGGATAAAAATGGTGAGAAAACCATAGATTTTGGATCTATACAAAACACTAAGATTGCCAGAATGATAGAAGTGTAATTAACTATAATAAATACTTTTTCTCTTCTTTTAATTTTTTAGAAAGATAATTGACTATAGAAGAAAAAAATAATAATATATTGTGAGGTAGAAATAAAATGTATGACAAAAGTAGCACAAAAGGGAGGGGCTAAATGTAAGTTTATACTCTTGTAAAGTTTATACTCTTGTAAAGTTACAGCATTACCTGTATACTGTACACTATACAGGTAATGGTTTAGCATTATTTCAAGGCAGACTGTGATATGTTAAAGATGTAAAGTCTTGAGAAATCCTTAAAAAAGTAAAAGCTTATCATAGGTAATGAGCTAATAGCAGAACTAAAATGGAATCATAAAATACAGGTGATCCTTGATTGAACTGCATGGGTCCACTTACACATGGAATATTTTTCAATAGTTACACTACAGTTTTACACGATCAGTGGTTGGTTGAATCTGAGGATTCGAACTCCAGATAGGGTGGAACCAAGTATACTGGGGGACAACTTTAAAGTGACATGTGGGTTTTCAACAGCACAGAGGGTCAGTACCCCTAACCCCTGTGTTGTTCAAGCATCAACTGTATACTCAGTTTTAAAAAGACAGGATAAAAGAAAGAGCAGATTAAACAAATAGAAACAAATAACAAGGTGGTAGACCATATGTATATTTTTCTTATTTCAGTGGTTAGGTAGATAGCCACCCTCACCCTACTCTGGATTATTCTCTTTTGAGACTTTGTCTACTGCCAGCAAATGTTAGTATCCTTTTAGCCACCAGACTGTCAAATAAAGTAGCTAAAGTCTTAAGTTATGAGCGAGATGATGCAACTTGATCATAAGGCAAAAACTATGCATTGTTTTTGCATAGAGCTGTATATGAAAGGAGGCCACTTCACAGGCACCATGTGTCTGCTCAATTAATGCTTTGAAAGGAGTTTTGTGGCTTTCTCTTAGGATAATAGGTCATGCACATGCTGTTGCTGTTATATCTGCTGAAACGTGGATAAAACTACTGCCCCTCTCTTGGCCTGATAAGACACGCATGCCTAGCTGCTCAGAGACCCACAGATTGCTGGGAAATATATCCACCACTACATCATTAGTCAGTGTAGTCCTTTGCTTGTAGTGGTGGAAATTCTAAGTGTTTCTCTTCCTTGGCTAAGGGTTTTTCTAACTTTGTTTTTTTTGGCAGAAATCTTGAGTTCTCTGCATAAAGGCCCATCGGTTTGAAGAAAATAATCTACTTCTAGTTCTAACTCTGGAACTAAGAATTAAGTCATTACACAAACTCAACCAAGCTGATTTTTATTCTCGAATATGTCTCTATGTATTCTGTTTTCTACAGTAGATACATATTGGTTTTATAGTGAGAGGAAAAGATGTCTAAAGAGGATTATTTTTTTCAAAGGTGGTTTATTTATAGCAGCAGAAAGTGAACCAGTGGTTGCCTGGGACGCTGGGCGGGGGCAGTTGTTGACTGCAGATGGGCAGCAGGGGACCTTTTGAGGGGATGGGTGGAAGATTTCTAAATCTGGATTGTAATGATGCTTGCACAGTTGTATAAATCTACTAAAAAAATCATTGATCTATGCACTACAATGGATACATTTTTATAGTATGTAAATTGTAATTCAATAAAACTGTTAAACACAAGCTCACTACTAAGAGAATGAAAGGGCAAGCTACAGGGTATATGCATATACTTGTAATGCAACTGAAAAAAGACCTTATATGTGGAATATATGAAAAATCACAAATCAGTTCTTGAAAAGACAACCTAATAGAAATGGGCAAAAGTCTTGAACAAGCAAACCTGTCTTATATCAAAATATGTTATCCAAAAGGCCAATAAGCCTATCACATACATCCTCAATATTATTTATTATTCATCAGGGAAATGAAAATTAAAACTGCCTATAAGGCAATAATACTACACACTTTCCAGCATGGCTGAAATAAAAAAGATTGATTATGCAAAGTATTGGCAAGGATGTAGAGCAACCAGAATTTTTATACATTGCTATTGAAATATAAATTGATGCAGGCATTTTGGAAAACGGTTGAAAGACATGTAGAAGATTGTTCATAGCAACTTTATTCCTAACAGCCCAAACTTGAGCAACCAGATATCCATCCTAAACAGATAATTTAACTGTGGTATAGTCATATAATGAATCACTACCATATAGTGCTGAAAATGTACAAGATACAATTGTATGCAACAAATACAAGATAGTATATAGTGTATCTTTCTCTTTATATAAAGTTTAATAGCAGGTAAACTGACTTACCATCTTGGAAGTAAGGATAATGGTAACCCTTGGTTGAGGTGTGGAGGGTGGAGGCAGGTAGCCTATGTACAGTGATCTTGCTAAGTTCAGTGGGATGGAGCACAGAGGGACTTCTAAGGTTCTAATAATATTTTATTCATTGATTTGGGCTCTGGTTTCAAGAGTGTATTCCCTTTGTGAAAATTCACCATACTGCATATTTATGATTCAAGCATTTTATATTTTGTGTATTATATTACAGTAACACACACGAAAAGAACACCTAAAAGTAAGAAAATGTGTATGTTGATGTAATATATATGACAGCAACAACAGGAGTCTATGTGATTGTAAGGCTTCTTTTACTTGAAATCATAAAATATTGACTCTAAGTATACTGTGCGGTTAGGTTAGTATATTGTTATCCGTTGAGCAGACACACACACAAAAAGCAATACAAAGAGATGTAGCTGAAAAGCCAATAGATAAATAGAATACTAATAAACAAAATATGTTATCTGACTGTAATTAAAACAGAAATCAATAAAATAAAGATAACAATCCCCAAATATTTGGCAAATTAAAAAGACATCTAAATAAAACATGAGTCAAAGAGGAAGGACAGTTTTAAAAATATTTTAAATAGAATGAAAATAAAATATCACAGTTTGTGCGGTGCAGCTAAATCAGTACTCCAAGGTTAATTTATAACATTAAATGCTCTTATTAGAAAAGGAGAAAGGCCTTAAATCAGTAATCTAAGCTTCTACCCTAAGAAACTAGAAAAAGAAAAACATTAAACACAAAGCAAGCAGGAGTGAAATGATAAAGTAGAAATCATCAGTGAGATCAAAAACAGAAAAATAATAGAGAAAAACCAATGAAATAAAAAAACTGGTTCGTTGAAAATGTCAGAAAATTTATAAACCTCCAGTCAGACTAATCTGGAAAAAAGAGGCAAAGCACAAATTATCAGCATCAGGAATGAAAGAGGGAACATCACTACATACTCAAACATTAAAATTGAAGCAGGGGATTACTGCCTTCCTGGATACCCTCCTGGATGTTTTCCCAAAGTTACTCTGAGACTGCATGAGTTTGAATAAAGTTGTTTCATGAAATGTGAAGAAAGGTAAAAAATTTATTATAGACTTAGATTACTATAAAATATATCTGCAGTATTTACTATTGCCAGTCTGTCAGCTTTAAGGTTAAACTGCCATCCTCATCCTTAACTGGCCTCAGTTTAATCAGTATGGCAGTGTACACAATGTGCTTTTCAGAAACAAACCTATTTCTGTGTATACCACTTTTTTTTGCATATTTTACCAACATTGTTGTTTATATTTATAAACCATTCATTGCCAGTTTGGAATGACAGTAATTGCTAATTATATTGCTTTGTATTGCAGGCCTCATTAAGCAAGCTGATGGAAACACTTGGTCATGCAGAACCATATTTTGTAAAATGCATTCGCTCTAATGCTGAAAAGGTAAAAATGTCTGTAAATAAGAGCTTCTAGCTCAGCTTACTTCAAACCAAGCTTTAAATTCTTTCTAAGAATAAGTGGCGGGGAAGAGCTATCTATAATCTTTGTAAGGAAAACAGTGTTCTATATTTTCTATGAATATCCTTCTTACTTCCTCACTTAGCTGCCTGAAAAGTATTTATATGGGCTCAATTTAGCATCTCCTAGAATTTAGCATCTCCTACAGAAGCAAAAATCTCTTGAAATTCCATCATATAAAAGAATTTTATGCAACTTTTGTTACCCGTACCAAGGTTAATCTGTCTTGTTTAGATATAAGGTATCAATTATTCTTACAGGACTTGCGTGGCATTTTTCATGTTTAGAGATTCTTGTCTCTTCAAAATAGGGAAGATACTCAACATTCTTGATTTCTTCTTGTTTTATATGACAGTTCCCCTTATTAGAGCTTTGCAAAACATATCTGTTAAATGTAAACAGTTGTCATCTTTATGTCCATCATAGGAAAAAAATAGTTCTAGCCCAAACTGCTAAAATGTCGTAGGAATTAGGTTCAGCTTTCTTAATTCTTAATAAGCAGTCTCTAGCTCTGCTAGTTATAAGTTTTGTGATCTTAGATGAGTTACTTAACCTTTCTATGCCTTAAATATTTTCATCTGTGTAACAATATACTGGAATTGTAGGACCAACCTCATAGTGTTTTGTGAATACATATGAGTCAATACCTATGAAGTACTTAGAATGTTCCTGGCCCATACTAAGCACTTAGTAAATGTTAGCCATTCTTTTATAGTGACAAAAGAGGAACCCACTTTATTTACAGTTAAATAGAAGTTTGAGTCCCTGTTATTCTTGCTATGCAAAGCGTTCAATTAATGAAGTATTTAAGGGCACAGAATAAGTACTAAATAAATATTAACTGCTGTTATTATTTAACATAAGTTGCCCACTTGACTTTTTTTTTTTGACAGCTGGTATGCCCCATCTTTCTGCAGAAAAATATTTAGGATTGCCTTAGTGGATCATTGAAAATAGTATTTAGAGAATAGGGAGAAATATCAGAAGCTCCAAATACAGCCTCTTTTGAATGTCTAAAAATATGCCTATGAGATACCTAGGAGTGACAGAGTGTCATGACTGGTGATGATCGAATGCCTCCCTTTAGCCTCTTCCCTATTGATGCTTATACAATGAGAGATCAATTCTCAGGGATTATAGGAATTTTTTGTTTTCAATGTGTCATACCAGTATCATCAGCAAAAACTAGGGAAGTAAACTTCTTTTAACCTTGTACTAGTCATAGAAGAAGAAATATGTCAGCTCTCAAGTTAACCAAGGCAACTGGAAGAGTGTGGGGTAAGTCGTTTCTGAGTGAGATTGTAGATAAAATCTTACTTAATAAAAATATAGACAGTCTTGACTATGTATAAGTAGGTTAATCTTGTTACAAATTTTATAGTGAATAGACTATGGGGCCTGTGGGCAACTACATTCCTTTTGAGCTTTGAAGGCCCTCTTCTTCTGCAAGTAGAGAAGCCTGGAAGCCTGGTGTCTCTTTTCCTTTTGGTCAGGCAGTTAGAACTTTTCTGAAGCTACCAGCTGGGGAGGTAAGATTGTCCCATCACCTCTGCTGTATCTTAACCAGACAGCCTCCAGTCAATTCCTAGATATTCAAAACTTAACTACACTTATAAGACAAACATTAATTTGGAGATCTATTCTCCTGGGTTAATGTTTTTTCCATTTTCTTTGTTTTAGTTGCCCTTAAGGTTCAGTGATGCCTTGGTACTTAGACAGCTTCGGTACACTGGGATGCTGGAGACAGTTCGAATTCGCCAATCAGGATACAGCTGCAAATATTCTTTCCAGGTTATGCTTTTATAGTGATATTTAAATATATTTGTACATCAAGTAAATTATTCCTATGCCTTGCTTATTTTTTATTTGGGTCTCACTTGTTTATTTCTCCTGATTCTTCCTTTACATTCTATCTTTTGTATACAGAATTGAAGAGGGATAGAGAATACTCATTTCCATTGAATGACAACAATCTCATTAAGCTTGTGTTGTAATAGAATCCACTACTTGGCTATTCTCATTTGATCTGAATGTTTGTTAATATAAGTTTACTCATAACATGGCAGTTCTTCACACTGATTACGCCAGTAATTGAAATACTTCAATCAGAACTATCTAGTTCAAAAGAAAAGATCCCGTTTGATTTTTCCTAAAGTCTTCTCAGCAGGATTTTCTTACAAAGGAGGCTGCCAGCAAGGCTCACAACTGTTCTCATCAGCTACTGCTGCTATGGATATAGAAATTATTTGAAGCTTTTCAGCAGCTGAGCAGGTCTTTACTGTTGAGGGAAAGCTTTATTCTCAGTTGTACCCTGAAATAGCTGTCACCTTTGCTTATTTTTCTGCTAAAAAATTCAGATTTTTGTTAAATAACCTTTTCTTTGGTCTTTAGTACAGCTTTCTCAAAGGGAGAATTAGCTTCTGCCCTTCTTTTCTTCTTTCATTCCCCTTTGATAACAGAATATGTAGGAATCACTATCTCCCCCCACCATTTTACTAATTAACCTTTTGAAATATTTTAAATTAGCAAGTAAATTCTTGGTTTCACCCTGTTTAAAATAATGAGAAAAAGATCAATAAAAGGACAATTAGCTAGTTTAGGATTTGGTTTACATATAATTCTTTTGTGATTTTACAACATTTTCTTTTCACTTTTCAGGATTTTGTGAGCCATTTCCATGTACTTCTTCCCCGAAATATTATTCCATCCAAATTTAACATTCAGGATTTCTTCAGGAAAATAAATCTTAATCCAGATAATTATCAAGTTGGAAAATCCATGGTAAATATAATATATACAGCTTTTGCCAGATTTAGTGCATTTTTGTATATAAGTAATAATGGCAGTCTTTGCTGAGGAGAATGTTTATAAGAAAGATAGTGTACCAGATATCATAAGGAAATCGATTAGGCCAAGATTTTTACTTAATAATGTAGTCAGTATTAATCAAAGAGCTTATGACCAATGCTCTAGTGCCGCCTATAATTTTAACTGCTTAAAAAGCATTTCTTCCTAGGTATTACACTGTAATTATCAACTCAATTTGCCTAAAGTGACCTTATCCAGATTCCCCTACTGTCTTTAACTAATCAACTAGTCTTTTTCTCTGTCACCTTTCTTCTAGTTTCTTAGGCTAGAAACCATAATCATATTTTGGCTTACCCTTCACTTTAATCATTTTACAAAGTTCTGTTTCTGTTTTTTTCCTTATAAATGTTTCTCACATCTCTCCCTTTTTCTCCATTCTTACTGTTTCCATTTTAGTTCTGTTTTGTAGCTCTCACACATTTCTCTTATAGTAAACAAATCCATCATCTAATGCCAGTCTATTTTTTATTCCATTTAACTCACTCTACCCATAGTATCAAAATCATCATCTTAATATACTTTATGTCAGCCTCCTGCTCAATAATAATCCCTTTATAATCTCCTCATTAAATCTAAACATCTTTCTTTTCCAAGAACCTCCATGTTGTGACTTCACACTTTTTAATAAATTTATTTATTTATTTACTTTTGGCTGCAGTGGGTCTTTGGTGTTGCGCGTGGGCTTTCTCTAGTTGCGGCGAGCAGGGGCTACTCTTTATTGCGGGGCACGGGCTCTAGGTGCGTGGGCTTCAGTAGTTGTGGCATGTGGGCTCAGTAGTTGTGTCTCGCGGGCTCTAGAGCGCAGGCTCAGTAGTTGTGGCACACAGGCTTAGTTGCTCTGCGGCATGTGGGATCTTCCCAGACCAGGGCTCGAACCCGTGTCCCCTGCATTGGCAGGTGGATTCGTAACCACTGTACCACCAGGGAAGCCCCACTTCATGCTATTAATTGTTCCATTGTCCCAGTATGTATCTTTATTCTTTTTTTTGGCAGTACGCGGGCCTTTCACTGTTTTGGCCTCTCCTGTTGCGGAGCACAGGCTCCGGACACACAGGCTCAGCGGCCATGGCTCACGGGCCCAGCTGCTCCATGGCATGTGGGATCTTCCCAGACTGGGGCACGAACCCGTGTCCCCTGCATTAGCAGGCGGACTCTCAACCACTGCACCACCAGGGAAGCCCCTATTCTTTTTTTTATAAATTTTTTTTTACATTTTTAGACATTTATTTATTTGGCTGTGTTGGATCTTAGTTGCGGCAGGCGGGATCTTCATTGTAGCGCACAGGCTTCTCTCTAGTTGTGGCACGCAGGCTCAGTAGCTGCGGCGCGTGGGCTTAGTTGCACCGTGACATGTGGGATCTTAGTTCCCCAACCAGGGATCGAACCCACATCCCCTGCCTTGGAAGGTGGATTCTTAACCACTGGACCACCAAGGGAGTCCCTGTACCTTTATTCTTATTTCCAACTCCTTGTTTTGCTCAGGTGGAGTCCTCTGTCCTTGCCCTGAATAGCTTACTGTTTTCCTCTTTGGGTATCTAATATCTATCTGTACTTTCTAAGAATATTTTTAAATTTTTGACAAAAATGGGAAGTGATGGATATGTTAATTAGATTGTGGTAATCATTTCAAAATGTTTATACATACATCAAAACATCACATTGTACACCTTAAATACATACAGTTTTTAATATCTACCTGCTTTTAGTGTTGAATTGTAAATCCTGTTTCCAAAGGGACTGTGTCTAAGTTATCTTTGTATCCCCCTAAATTCCTAAAGATTTATAATAGAATGAAGGAGTAAATAAGTAAACTGATGAATAGCTTTGGGCAGCAGGAAGCCTTTGACGCATGCTGGGTTTCAAAAAGACTTATCATTATTGGTTTATTCATATTATGATCAAACTTTAAAATCTGTGGTTGTCATCTTTTTTTTTCCCCACTCCAACATCCTTGAAAAATATGACATATTAATATTACCAGTACTACATTGGCTTCTAATGGTGAAGTTCCCAAGGGAATAATGTATCACAGTCTCTGGCACTGGGATTTTTGTAGTAATGTTCACCTTTCCAGTTCCCCTTCTATATTCTAATGCCTCCTTTCCAGTTTGAGAGTGACTACTTTGGCTAAGTTGATGGAAATATTTATCAGTACTGCTTGTACCTGTCTGCCACTGTGTCTGTTCTTCTCTAAAAAAGCTTACCATAGGAACGATGAAGGATGAAATAAATTTCTCATTTCTTCTTAAGCTGTATGCTTCATCTTTTTTCCTTCTGGTAGGTGTTCCTAAAGGAGCAGGAACGACAACACCTACAAGATCTGCTTCATCAAGAGGTGCTCCGCAGAATCATATTGTTGCAGCGATGGTTCAGGGTCTTGCTGTGTAGACAGCATTTCCTCCATCTGAGACAGGCATCCGTTATCATCCAGGTAGGAAACAAAAGATTCTTTGCATGAGATTGGCTAGTTTATTTAGTCAGTGTTTTAGTAACTAGAACTGTTTTACTGTGAAACATTTAAGTAAGATTGTAAATTTCTTCAGTGGTGAGAATGTGTCCTACTCATTTGTTAAATGTTCACAGCATCCAACAGATTACCTGGCATATAATAATAGACTTTTAATAAATATTAATGGAGTTAAATTGAAATTAAATTGAATTTATAGTTATAATGTCTTGTGAGGTATGATTAGGGGCAAAGGAGTTATGTGCCTTAATTTTTGTTGGCAAGTTATTTTTAGTTTTGTGAGTGATATTTGAGAATTATATGTACATTGTTGTTGTTATGTATTCATTTTGGATGAAAGGTATCATATTTTACATTTCTCTTTTATTTTCTCCCTCATTGATTTATATGCTGGCTGTTTTCCACAGGATCTTTACTGTTTGTACAAGAAAATCTTTAATATCTTAATCTTTGCAATGTATACACGTTGACATTAAACCCATTAATATTGGCAAATTGTAGGTGAGAATATAATGTAATTTGTTAAAATTAATTTGTAGGGCATGAAAGCGTCAAAAAGTTTTAAATTACTTTAAGTTGTATAATTAACTTCATTGAGGTTATATTATCTAAAATAGTTATTTTAGCCAGGCATATCTGGAAAAGGAAACTTTTTTTACTTTAACCACCCACAGTTTAGCTGTTTAGCCACTTAACCTCTAGTTATGACATAAGAAATTTCTGTGAGAATGTGTTATAAGATATGACAACAGTTTTTATTATTTTGTCTTCCCCACAGCGATTCTGGAGGAATTACCTAAATCAGAAGCAGGTCAGAGATGCAGCTGTGCAGCAGGATGCTTTAGTTATGGCTAGTGCAGCCACTCTTCTTCAAGCTTCCTGGCGTGCTCACTTAGAGAGGCAGCGGTATTTGGAGCTCCGGACTGCAGCCATCGTCATCCAGCAGAAATGGAGGGAGCACTATAGGCGGAGGCACATGGCTGCTATCTGCATACAGGCGAGATGGAAAGGCTACAGGGAAAGTAAGAGGTATCAAGAACAAAGGAACAAAGTTATCCTTTTGCAATCACTATGTAGAGGATTCAGAGCAAGACAAAGGTAATCTTTTTTGCTATAATAATTAACTCCTCACTTGTCAAGTACTTCTTATATGTCTGCTCTAACATTTGCCTGTTAGAATTAGTTATCTCAGTTTGTCTTCTCCACTAGAAATAGAATTGTGAAATGTGCATCCAAGTTAGTTTAAGAAATACTTAATATTATAAAAAGAAAATTTTTGAGACTTTCCACTTTTTAAAATATTCTCAATAAATGTATTCTCTCCAGTGGTGACCAAGAGATATCTCTAGCCTATTTTTTTTTCCTGTTTTGATATAGATTTAAAGCTTTAAAAGAACAAAGACTAAAAAAAACAAAACTAAAACTTGGATTGGCAAATATCAAGCCATATGGAACTCTGGAAGTTCACGGTTCAGACCCTTCAGAATGGGAGGATTGTTCATTTGACAACAGAGTAAAAGCCATAGAGGAATGTAAATCTGTGATAGAGAGTAATCGAATTAGTCATGAAAGTTCAAAGGACTGCTTGAACGAGTCCCCAAACAAGCGACAGGAGAGAGCCAGAAGTCAAAGTGGTATGGACTTGCAGGCAGATGTGACTGTAAGAGAGAGACCCAAATCCTTGGAAGATCTCCACCAGAAAAAAGTGGGCCGGGCCAAAAGAGAAAGTCGGAGAATGAGAGAACTAGAGCAAGCTATATTTAGTTTAGAATTGCTGAAAGTCCGTTCTCTTGGTGGTGTGTCTCCTTCAGAAGAACGTAGGTGGTCTACAGAACTGATGCCTGCGGGCCTTCAGTCTTTACAGGGTACACCGGATAGTGAAAGCTCTCAAGGAAGCTTGGAACTTCTGAGCTGTGAGGAAAGCCAAAAGAGCAAACTAGAGCCCATAATTCTAGATGAAGGAGATGTGCCATTCCTGTCACCTAAGATATCTAGCAGTCCAAATTTTGATTCACAGGACAATGCCCTCAGTACCTCAAGTGAGACTAACTATACATTGATTCAAAAGAGGGCACCTGCTGACTCAGTGCATTTAAAGAATGGGACTATGAAGGAAAAACTGGTTTGCAGTTCTGAATCTATTACCTGTAAACCACAGCTGAGAGACTCCTTTATTTCAAATAGTCTGCCTACATTTTTTTATATTCCCCAACAAGACCCACTGAAAACAAGTTCTCAGCTAGATACAAGTGTCCAGAGAAACAAACTATTGGAAAGTGAAGAAACACTTCCATCTCTTACTTTGGATATCAACAGGGAAGCCAGAAAGTACCACTTCCCAGGGGAAAATCAAGTTGTTGCTTCTTTGAATACAGCTTCTTCCAATATTGTGCTTAAGAAGTTAGAAAAGCTAAACACTGAGAAGGAAGAAAGGCAAAAGCAATTGCAGCAGCAGAATGAAAAAGAGATGATGGAACAGATTCGCCAGCAAACAGATATTTTAGAAAAGGAGCGTAAAGCCTTTAAGACAATTGAAAAGCCAAGAACTGGGGAGACTTTTCTGGTACCATCTTTCCATCAGTCAAAGCAAAGAATAGAGAGGCCATCCTCTCTCCTCATCCTGAATACCCCAAATAAGGACGAACCCAGTGTAGCTGGGACTCCATCAGTAACTGTAAAAGATGCTGCTCTTGCCCCAAAAGACAGTCTCTCTGCTCACTTACCCTTGAAGGACCGACCTGTCACTCTGTTCTTTGAAAGAAAAGGAGGCCCATGCCAATCTAGTGCTGTTAAGGAATTATCCAAGACAGACAGAATGTCCACCCAACTGAATGTAGCCTGTAAACTCTCTAATAATCGCATTTCAAAAAGAGAACACCTTAGGCCAACTCAGCCTTGTAGCTACAAATCTGATGACCCTTTCAGAGATGGAACTACTAGGGCCATTTTCTTCACGCCAAAGGAAAATATGAGTAGTTCCCTGTAAGTGAAGTCTTTATTTATTTTTATGTATAAATGGGAAACTTTTTGGAAATGTTCATTAGGGTGCCTTGATCTGCCTCAACTATTTGTATGGGTGCTACTCAAATTAGCCATTTTCTGTGTGTGAAAAAATTTCCTAATTGTTGACTCCACCAGCCCCCTGAAATTGGATATAATTATACCCTAGGAGTCTTTGACTAAGCACAGATAGCAGGGTTTTTGGTTCCTCCCCATTAAGTGAGAAAACATTTGTGAAGGGCTGTACAGTGCCTGGAAACTTAGTAGGCAGTCAGCAATTGCTGGTTGCCCTAGAGCTGTTAGGTGTAGCAGTCCAAGCTTGTTAGTATCAGGCTTTAAAGTTAATGTGCTTTGTCACAGCTGTTGACCTATTTATGGTCTGCATTAAGTTCTTTGTACTTTTTTGATGGGGGGGGAATAAAAACCACATAAAATTTACCATCTTAACCATTTTAAAGTGTACAGTTCAGTTGTGTTAACTCTATGCACATTGTTGTGCAACAGATCTCTAGAGCTTTTTCACCTTGCAAAACAAACTCAGTTACCCATTGAAAGCAGTTCCCCTTTTCCCCTTACCCCCAGCCCCTGGCAACCACCATTCTACTTTCTGTTTCTAAAACTATGGCTACTGTATGTATTTTTTAATTTTCATTTTTGTCTGCGCGGCTTGTGAGATCTTAGTTCCCCAACCAGGGATTGAACCTGGGCCCTTGGCAGTGAAAGCGCCAGGGAATTCCCTGTGACTACTTTAAATACCTCACATAAGTGGAAGTTCTTTATTCTTTTAAGTTGTCTTAAGCAGTGGTAGCTGTGAGAAAACATTTCTTAAGTGGTACATAAAAACAAATTTGATAAAATTTAAGATATTTATATTAAAGCTATGTATACAGTGAATTCTTTCTGTTCTTGTGGGAGAATATCACTGTTTAAATGAAAGGAGGGCTATATCTTAGGGCTAAAAAAGTTAAATTTCATGTTAACTCTGAAAATAACTTTCTCATCATAACCTAACTTTTAACTCTGTCAGTCTTTAAAATTACAGATTTTATAGAAACTCTTTGTAAATATGGGCAAGAGATCATTGATATTTTATTTTTCCACTAAGAATTTTTATACAGGAGTATGAAATGCAGTTGGATTACATGACAACTTGAGATCCCAGTGCTGCGCATTAACCTAGAGATTGCCCGAAAGTTCAGACTCTGTGTAGCATATAAGCCCACCAGAGAATGTTAAAAACATATTATTTTCTGTCATTCTGATTAATTTTAGTTATGTGAGGGGTGTGCATGTGTGTATGTGCATAGTTGTTACATCCATGAATCTGTTTTGTAGAAGACTTACAGATTTCAAAAACAATCATCCTTGTGAATTGTTCCTTTTATCATTTTGCCAAGATAAAAGTCTTATAGCTACTTGACCTAGTTTGCTTAACCTTATTAATATCTGTGTATCTTCAAAATGATTATATATTAGATTGTGTGAAAGGTTAAGTAAAATTCATACTTCACATCTTCTCTTGTTCTATAAGTAATACTAGAAACATTAGCATTTTATAGAATCATAAAAGTTAGTGTTTCTACGTTATAATATCTAGTCCAGTTCCCACATATTATAGATGAGGTCACTGGTGCCCATGGAGGTGAAATGACTTGTATAAGGTCACATATATAGAGAAACAGCTGAGACCAGAATTTGAGTTTCCTGTTTAGAAATCAGCATTGGATGTCATGATTAGGAAGTAACATTAGATTAGTGTCCTTTCTATGCCATAGTGATGATAAGTACATCTTAGTCTTCAGCTGGTTAGTAAGGGAGAACAAAAAAGAAATCATGGAGAAACTTAGAGAAAATGCTGTGAGTTTAAAAGTTAGTTAGGGTGGTCAGGTGCTATCAAAGGTCCTATTAATTGTTTCTCTTTTGGAGAAAAAAAATCGAAGGTAAATGGCTCAGCTGTGGCAAGAGAGATTTTTAATAACCAAAAGGGTTATTCAGGACAACCTAGGATTGCTGGACTTGATTGTACACTGGTCAGAGGGAGATGTCTGAGAAGCTTTTGGCTATCAGAAAGATTGACATCTAATTAGCTTTGTTTAGGGATTATTGCCTAGGGCAAAGGACGAGATAACCTAGGCCTTCATTTATAAAATTAAGTGGAAGATTTTGAATGCAAGGGCAATTACTCTGCCAAATGGTATTATAAGTTAGTGTCTACTTTAAACCCAGCAGTATGCTAGAAGGTAAGATATGATTTTCAGTGAGTTTACAGTCCTGTTATTGATAAATTTTAAGACTCATGGTTCTGAGTTAATATAGATAATTGGGGCCATAAAAGTACAGGTTCTGTTCAGATTTTCATCAGACACAGACATTCATTTCTACAGAGAATTTAATGATAAAGCAGTCATATCATGTGGTTATTCAAGCAGAATTAAAATTTCACAGACTAACACTATACCATCTTTATGGTTTGGGGCATACTTCTTTTAGCTTGATAACAATTTCTTATTCTGCCAGTGTTGATTTTATTCTAAAAATTTTAAACTAAGACCACAGATGAAAGCTACAGAGAGATTTCAGAATGAAAATTTGCTTATCAATAGGACCATCTCAGTATAAAACAAAGTAATGAGGTACTCATCACTGGGTGGCTACTTATCAGGTATTTTATAATGATTAGAGTAAAGGCCCCTTCTTCTGAGACTGATTCTAAAGATTTGGGGATTTGGTATTTTCCCTTTCTCATTATCAAATCCATTTCTTTGACCTGACTTGTTAGACTATATTTCATGCTATACTTTTAAGACTGCTGCCATGAGATATCTGCTAGGAATTGAAATGTAATCCTGTTGTTTTATCCTAAGTGTCACCAAGGAAGCCTTAAACAGTGGAAATCCTCAACTCCATAAACAAGATGAACCAGCTTGGAAACCTGTGAAGTTAACTGGGCCGGGCCAAAGAGAGGTAAGTATTGACTTTTGTTTTATTTGTCTTCTATGCAAAATAGGTGCACGCTGTTTTGGAAATTATTATTCTTGTAGGTAGAGCACCTCATCTACTCATTTACTCCCAAGTGTTTATAGAGAAAGAAGCCATGAGTTAAGTCTGTTACACTTAGAGAGGAGTACTTCAGGCAGGGAAGGGTGCCTAAAAATCCAGATTATATTTACAAAAAAGAAGTTGCTGAGGAAAAGAAGGCAATTTATGCAAGTGACTTTGGTGACTCATTATGGCAGTGAAAGATGACTTCCTTGGCTATGGAGAAGAACAGTATAGATTTAGCTTCCATTCTTATTCTTTGTCCAGAGTAATGAATATGGATTGCTTTTGGTTATCGCTGTCACTTCTAGTGAAAAGGGCACAGGGGTGGAGGGGATGTTTCAAGAAATTCATGAGCTCTCTGATGTCTTTCATTGGCATCGTCTCCCAAAAACCAAAACAAAACATTTTTGTGTTATTTGTTTTATCATTTGGTCAAGCAGGTTGCCAGACCGGCCCATAAAAAGAAAGCTCGAATGGCGCGGACGCGCTCCGATTTCTTGACTAGAGGTACTTTTGCCGATGGGGAGGGGGATACAGAGGAAGATGATTACGATGACATTATTGAGCCCCTTCTCTCCCTTGACCAAGCTTCTCACTCTGAGCTAGGGCCTGCACCCAGCCTGGGTCAGGCCTCTCACAGTGACTCCGAAATGGTAATTTTACAGCAATATAAGAAAAATAGGCAACAAGCAAATCTGATGGGAATAGTCTTTGCTAATCTAAAGCTAACCTTCACAGCTTCTTCTCCGTATAACGGTTTGTACATGGGAAACCTCAGTGAACAAAGCAACTAAAGCTAAACCTTCATTTAATAAGACTTGGATAAAGGGCACTTTAACAGTGTATGTCAAATCATAAATTAGGCAAAAAATATTAAAGTTATTTAACTTAGCACTAATGTAGGAGTTTTCTGTGTTATATCTTAAAAGGTCTAGAGCAGGGAGGCTCAAAATTTTTTTTTTGTAAAGGGCCAGATAGTAAATGTTTTAGACTTTATGGGTTATACAGTCTCTGTTGCAGCTGCTTAACTCTGTTACTGTAGAGTGGAAACAGCCATAGGCAATAAGTAAACAAAGGCACATGGCTGTGTTCCAATAAAGCTATTTACAAAAACAGGCAATGGGGCTGTATTTGACCTGCTGGTCATAGTTTCTTGATCCCTCCATGGTCTAGTGAATAGGGTATATAAAAAATAATCCAGTAGCTTTTAACTGAAATGGTATTCTCTTTTCTTTTCTTTTCTTTTTGGCTTTAAACTTGTTTCCCCTCTGAATTTTTTAGTAATAGAAAAAAAACATGAATTTTTAAAAATTTAATAAGCAATGCCAAAAATGTCTCCCTGGGCCAACCGAGCCAACTAAAAGGCTATAGATAATGTGAATTTGTCTTAATCACAAATTACAACATTGGAGTTATGTTTGAATAAAGCTGCATTAAGAAAATAACTATTATCATATCTCAGCCCAAATTAGGCATATATAGTTTGATAAATACAAATGCATTTATGGGTATAAAGTGTTTGATTTTGGAATTGTCCTGGAAAATACAATATGAGTACCCTATATGTCTATTATGTACTAAAACATCACTGAGGAGGTGGAATGATATGCATTTTATTTCCATGCATATCCTTAATTAAGTTGGGTCTCTAATGTTTTTCTTTAGTATCTGTTCATTATGGGAGAAACATTTTAGGATGGTCTTCTTTTGACTCATTAAATATTTTATCTTTGAGCTGTTTTAAAAGCTATTTGATTGGGGCTTCCCTGGTGGTGCAGTGGTTGAGAGTCCACCTGCCGATGCAGGGGACGCGGGTTCGTGCCCCGGGCCGGGAAGATCCCACATGCCGCGGAGCGGCCGGGCCCGTGAGCCGTGGCCGCTGAGCCTGCACGTCCGGAGCCTGTGCTCCACAATGGAGGAGGCCACAACAGTGAGAGGCCCGCATACCAAAAAAAAAAAAAAAAAAAA